TTTATATGACATTCCAACTGACACGAGAAGCCAATGCAACGTTCTTTACATGAAAAGTAATGTGATACATCTTCTTTTTCTTTAGTACAAGCCTAGCAACTTGATTTTGAAAACGTTGTAACTTGTGAAGAGTGGTATTTGGTAAGTTAGCTAGTAAAGCATTGCAATAATCGGTGTGTGAAAACAAGAAAGATGACACGAGCGTTTTCAATGAGTTTGCATTAAAAAACATAGACATTTGACCCATTCTACGGAATTCACAAAATAAAATGGTACATAAATGATTTATATGATGTTCCATTGACAATTTTTATTCAAAATACACTCCCAGATTTTTTTACTTATCAATGAAATACAGTTTTTGATTTTCAGTACAAACATGATCAATGTCTATGGGGATATGGCTGTTCTTTGGGTTACATAAAAAAATTTCAGTTTTATTTTCATTGAGCTGGAGATTATTATCAATCATCCCGTTCTTGACATCATCAATGCCCAGACCCATGGTGGTAAGCAAGGTTTTAACATCTGATGGTGGAACAGATTTGTATAACTGTGTATCGTCTACGTACATGTGATAATTTATATTGTGCTTTCTTGTCACAGTTCCAAGCGGCTGTGTATATAACGTATACAAGATTGGATCAAACACTGAACCTTGAGGCACAGCAAAGTCTAGTTAAAAAATTGACGAAAGAGAGTCGTCTGCAACCACAGATTGTGTACGACTAATCAGGTAGGACCTGAACCAGTAAAGAACCCTGCTGGACAGGCCATGCGTGTTGAACAATCGTTCAATAAAAATAGTGTGATCTATAGTGTCAAAGGCAGCACTAAGATCAAGAAGAGAAAAAACTGAAATTTTGTTCTCGTCCACCTCACACAAGAGGTCGTTATAAATTTTCAATAGCGCAGTTTCTGTGTTATGAAATTGTCGATAGGCAGGCAGATTGACATAATTCTTATAAATTGTTCTCTTTTAAATAATTCTTCAATTGAACCAAAACAACTTTTTCCGATATTTTTTTTTATTAAAAGGGAAGGTTGGAGGCAGGTGTGAAATTCTTGAGCTCCTCGGGGGATAGATTTGATTTTTTTTTAAAAAGGGGAATAACTAAAGCATGCTTAAATAGTGATGGTACTACTCCAGACTGAAGAAACTCTTTAATGATGGAAGTTATAAATCTGTCTGCCTGCCTGCCTGCCTGCCTGCCTGCCTGCCTGCCTGCCTGCCTGCCTGTCTGTCTGTCTGTCTGTCTGTACAAATACACACAGACAATACACACACCCTCACCCACACCCACACCCACACACACACACACACACACACACACACACACACACACACACACACACACACACACACACACACACACACACCTCTCTCTCTCTCACACACACACACACACACACACACACACACACACACACACACACACACACACACACACACACACTCATGCTTTATTTTGTTTCTTTTGGTAAGTGTTTTACGGCACTCGCAACTGCATAAGATCGTATGAGCGCGCAGGACACACCAAATATATTCAGATAGTAGGACATTTTGAAGTTTCCCCGGGTGGTGGCCGAGGCCTACTTTTATCGATTTTGGATCCCCGAGGGATCTTTAACATGCTTAACTTGCACACGGGACCTCCGAGATTTTTCGCCCTTGTCCAAGAAGGCTAGATGTAGATCTTACCTACCATAAGATCAGGAGTGTGACTGAAAGACAGCAGTAAGAAGGAGCCAAGGAGAAGCAGTAGAAAGGCCGCAGAAAGAGTAAAGAGCCCAGAGGAGGAGGCAAAGGAGGTGAGGGGTGGGGGCAGAAAGTGGAGACTAACGCAGACAACAGAACATTGCTCGAGGGCAGGAAAGGAAATGAGACAATTTTAGAGAAGACAATTTTTTAGTCGCTACCCGAATCCAAACCCGGGACCTTTGAATGAGAGGCGAAGACCATAACCTCTTGGCCACGAGAGCCCCTATATATATATATATATATACTATACATATATATATATATACATACATACTATATATATATATATATATATGCATGTGTGTATAATATGTATATATGTATACTTTTACATACATTATATTCGTATTGTATACATTTCTCGTTGATGCGTTCAGATGAGTTTTAATTTTTTAATATGATTGATTCCTTACGCCTTTTCGAAGTTTGAAGTCTTCGAACCCTCTGATTCGATTCACCAGTTTGAATGCTTTATTTAAATCTATGCATTCATGAGAATCAGATAAATTAGGCTTTTGTCGATGCAAGACTGGTGCCAGTAAGTTCTCCACCAGTCAAACTCTTCCCATTTTAAAAACGTAATAATATACATGTACATGTAATCTCCCCTAACGCGCCCTTTCTTCTAAATGAAGCCAAAATTCAGTGCGGTACCTATAATATAATAATAATAATAATAATAATAATAATAATAATAATAATAATAATAATAATAATCAGGGGCGAAGGCTGACTTGTTTGACTGGGTAATCAAAGTGAAATGGGACCAGATAGGGCCTGGAGATATCACACTCACAAAAGTCACAAGATCTTACTGGCACTGAAGGCGGCAACTCTGAGTTGTGAATGAAAACAAATCCTGAATTCATGTTGTATGCTTGTTCAACCGCTAAAATAATCGGGAAAGTATTTCATTAAATATTTATTTTAACTAACCTTAAATTTAACTTTAGATTTGAACACACGAACACCAAGGAAAGAAGCACAGATGTCAGCACTACAATGGCATGTTATACCAGACAGCCGAAACACGTTGGTAGAGCACGCCAATTATTAATTATTTATTTCACATTTGGCTGTTTTTTGTCTAGCTTTTCGCGGCCAGGAGCCGCTGTCATAATCGAGGTCACGATCTGATTATAGGACGTTAAAAAGTCGAGGAAAAAAACAAGCACTAGCAGTGTAGTAGCAGGAGTCAAAGGATTATTAAGAGTTAGTTCCCCTCACATCTGTGAGGTAGACTCGACCAGTGTAATAGTTCGCTTAGATAATCAGCGCGTCTGGGTGCTTATAACTGTGGCCCGAAAGGGGTGAACAGGGTATATGCGACAATGAAACAGTTCTGACTGCTATGCACATGTTCCCTTCAAATCTATTGGTTGACTCTTCCAGCCTCACTTTAAGCTTACTTAATCAAAGCTTGTGACTGCTTCTGGAGTGGCCCGATAGGGGCGAACAGGCTATTTCTGTGGCAATGAAACGGTTTTGAAGGTTGGGCATAGTCTATTGTTCATTGGTGATTATGAACGTCTTTTTACATTTAATTTATGAGGTTTACGTCTATGGGTGAATTTGACTGCGACAATGTTTCAAAATTAGGAAGGGAAGCAGTGATTATTTGATTATATAGACGCTTCACCTCTGATAATGATAATAATAATAATAATCATCATCATCATCATAATAATAATCATAATAATAATAATAATGATAATAATAATAATAATTGAAATAATAAATAATGGTAATGATAATGATGATAATATTATAATAATATTCAATCCTATCAAACATCTATCGTACCCCCCGGGACGGTGCTACGAACTGAAGAGTCTTTATGCCATTCCCAAAAGGGGACAATAACATGTTCTTATGCACAGTACAATTATAAATGGGCTGATTGATCAGTTATGCTCATAACTATGCCTGAACTGCAACAGGGAACTACTGCTTTTTCTGTCCTAATCCTTACTATCGCCATTTATCCTCTGCTTCTTTTGCATGTTTGTCACACTCTTGTGACCCGCTATTTCGTGGGTGCCTTGATAGTAGAAGAAGACTCTTTGCTGTTGAAGCTAGAGAGGTGAGCAGTGAGCCTGATTCCATTTACTGACTTCTCAGTTGACATCCACCCTTTGGCGCTCATATGACCTTATGCATTTGTGAGCGCCGTAAAAACTCCACTAAAACTAAAACCGCTATCGCCTTTATCTCCCTTCCTTCTTTTTTGTGTTTAATACCCTCTTGTAACACTTTTAATCTTCGGCACATATATAATATATGACCTTATTTATTGTGTTGCAAGTGCTATAAAACTCTTGCAAAAACGGTCCAAAAAAAATGCTCTTCTCTGTATTTTTGGGGGTTTGTTTTTATTTATGTCTTCACGATTAATTTTTATTTAACAACCTGCACGTAGTGCTTACTATTTTTGTTTCTTGTTAACAGTATTTGGTGCGTTCTCTTTGCTCACTTTTATAGTGATTAGTTTTTTGCCTCTCAGTTTGCTCCTGCACAGCATTTGAGAAAAGCTTAGGTAAGACGACACCATAAAAACGATGAGCTGGTGTAAGGTGGAGGACGATAATATGGTGTCTGACTAAACGAATATGATGTCATAGTGGTTGTGGAAACCTTTTGATTGTTTTGTTTCCAATCATTCTTTCTCCACGCGGATACATTCAACGATCAAAAAGAGGGATTAAAAAAACCCAGACTACTTGTGTCCTTGTTATCTTTTTACTACAATCTCAAACCGCAAGGACTACGAGACAAGTGCATTGTCGAAGCAAGCGACGCTTCGTTGAACGCGTGGCTGGGTGGCACGCGAACGCTTTTGATAGGGCCCCACTTTTTGTCCGCCCGCCATCTGCCGAGACTCGTGCCGAGCATTAGTTTCCTATTTCTAGCGCGAGGGTTTCTTTGTCGTTAAACAGAACCGAGGCCCTCGTTTACAGAGCAGAAATAACTTTCGTTTTGTACAGCAAGTGAAGAATACTTACTATACGCTAGAAACCGACGAGTTTCTTCACTTTTACTCTGTTTAATTACGACTTAAACTGCTTAACACGTGGTCGCTTGTTTATTTTCGTCGCATCGCTCCTGAATGAGTCAAAGGTTAGCCCCGCCTCCCGACCAATCAGCGCGCGCGGTTTTTCCTTTGCCTTGCAGTGATCCCTGCGTCTGGTGACGTCAGTCAGGCGGCATGGCCTTTGTGCTCAGCAAGAGGGGAGGAAAAAGAAACAGACCGCGCGGATGCGGCGCTTTCCCGGATTGTAACGCACGTTCGTAAATATAAAGAGGAGTCTCGTGCCGCTGGAACTACAGTTTCAGACTGAACGGCGGTTAAAACGGATATCTCACTCAGTGTGTGGCCATACGTTGTTTCTATTTTTCCAATGAATCTCGCTGTTACTAGGTCTAGTACTACTGCTAGTGTTCGTGCCCGCTTGACCGCGACTAAGGAAAGAAGATCATAACACGAGTACATTCTTGGAAATGCCTGAACCTATTTCAGATATGAATCGGAACCAGGAGGTGGGATACTTCGGAGATTTCTACGGCAACGAGGAGCCGCTGGACATCAATGTGCGCAATTTGGAGAACCTGTCGCTCATGGACAACTTCAGCTCTGTGTCGACTCTGGCTGGGGCTGAAAACAACGAAAACCTAGCGTATTTTCAGGATAATTTCGATGCTGCCTGCGCCGCCCCCTTCCTCGATGACCCTAAGGAGGGAAACATCTCCAAAACAGTTCGCGTTCCCTCCTCGGAGCATGTTGCGGAAATTGTCGGAAGACAAGGTAAATTTAGAATTTTTTAAAAGCTATTGTACATGTAGGCCTAGATCTACATGTTTTTATGGATCTAGATCTAGATCTAGATTCTATGCGTATTTGTTTGTATTTAGCCTAGATCAAGATCTAGATCTAGATCTAGATTTTAGATTAGTTCCTTTTTTGTGTTCTCCAGCAAAAGACGGAAAATTGAAAATGACAAGCTTAAGATTCTAGATCTCTAGATCTACATAAAAGGTCTCCAGTGGTATCTAACCGCATACTAGACTCTAATGCTGTTGCTATTGTTTTTAAGTTTTTTGTGTTTGTTTCTTGTTTCTGTTTTGTTTTTTTGTTGTTGCTGACGCTAACTTTTATCATTGTAGAATCTAGATTCTACGTGATTTTGTTACTGCTGTTGCTCTTGTCATTGGTAAGTTCCAACTCACTCTAGATCTAGATCTAGATCTAGATTAAGAGCGTTACTCAGTTCTTTTATAGATCTATATAATCTAGGCTAAATTCTAATCACTAGTCGATTAAAATCCAAATCAAAGTAAACACAGTTTAGTTCTCTGTATCATGTTGCTAGACATCTAGATCTTGATCTTTCCGACAAAAATCAACAGATTCTAATATATATATTTAATATACATGTGCGACGTCAACGTAGTCGAGAGAACATGATAGATCTAGAATCTAACTGTCTAGAATCTAAATCTAGATCTTGAGTCTAGATCTAGATCTAGATTCTAGATTTTGATTAGATCTAGATCTGGATCTAGATCTACTAGATCTAGATTCTAGATCTATTAAGAATATTGACCTGAACATAAATTTGACCTATTCTTTCCCTCATCAGTCTGTCCGCCTGCCTGCCTGCCTATTTCTCTCTCTCTCTCTCTCTCTCTCTCTCTCTCTCTCTTTCTCTCTCTCTCTCTCTCTCTCTCTCTCTCTCTTTCTCTCTCTCTCTTTCTCTCTCTCTCCCGCTCTCCCTCTCTCTCCCTCTCTCTCCCTCTCTCTCCCCCTCTCTCCCCCTCTCTCTCCCCCTCTCTCCCTCTCTCTCCCTCTCTCTCCCTCTCTCTCCCTCTCTCTCCCTCTCTCTCCCTCTCTCTCCATCTCTCTCCATCTCTCTCCATCTCTTTTCCCCTCTATCTGTGTGTGTGTGTGTGTGTGTGTGTGTGTGTGTGTGTGTGTGTGTGTGTGTGTGTGTGTGCGCGTGCGTCTGCGTGTTTGCGTGCGTGCGAGCATGCGTACATACTTGTGTGTGTGTTTTTCTTACTCTCCCTCACAGATTGTTTGTCACTCTGGGTATCTGTATTCCTCCGCCCTCCTTTCTTCTGTCTCTCTCTCCCTTTCTCTCACGCTCTCTCTCTCTCTCTCTCTCTCTCTCTCTCTCTCTCTCTCTCTCTCTCTCTCTCTCTCTCTCTCTCTCTCTGTGTGTGTGTGTGTGTGTGTGTTTGTGTGTGTTTGTGTGTGGTTAGGCGCCAGTCAGTTCCTAAGTTGGTCTTTCTTTCTCTTCCTTCCCTTTCAATTGTCTGACTTTTCACCTGTCGCTAACATTTTTTTCATGGGGTTGGCGCTTGATTTATATCGTCCCCTTTCCTTTTTTTTTTTTTTTTAAAATAAATGTTCATTGTTTGCTCTCTTGCTGTTTAGAATTGTGCAATATTATTGATGAAAGTTCCATAAAAATCAGAATTTGAAACATTCAACAATTAACAATACATTCAGCACTCTCATACCCAGACGTCTCCTTCTGTTTCGTCCCTGTGATGCCTTTATTATGCACTTCCATTTTTGGGTCTTGCTTTTATTTTCTGTTCAATTAAAATAATTATATATTATTTGATAAATGCATGTGGCTGATTCATCTCTACCTGTGATGAATATATGATTTATGTTTGCGCTCTCGTGATACTGTTTTTCTTTTTATGCGATTTAGAAATCTAGTTTTTGTCGTCATCTTCATCTATCGTAGTATTCGTAGTGCGGTCTTCAACATTCACTTCTCTGTTACGATGAAAATATCATTGGGTAAACCAATATCTAGAGCTGTCACTGTCAATACCTTGCTTACACTTTTGTTGCACTGTTTGCAATGTGGTCTACTTCTTGCTTCACCTCCGTTGCCCCCCCCCCCCCCCCCCCAACCCACCCACCCCATCTTTTTCACCGTGAAGATGGGGAATATTTCATTCCTATTCGTGTGTCTTGGCATACCCACTCAATTATTTAGGCCGTTATGTCTTCGACGATGGAAATGTTGTGTATGTTTCGTCCATCTTCTTTTCGAGATTAGATGGAAATGTTGTGTTTCGTCCTGCTTCTTTTCGAGATTAGATAACTGTCTTGTTGCTTTGGTTGTTAAATGAATTACCACATTCATCTGCATGGTTGATGTCTTCCACACCTGACAGATTGTCGCATCAGGTGACCGATAAAGATCTGCTTCTGTTTGTTTTCAGTTGCCAAGGTTATTTTGAGGCAACCTTGCTTGATCTGATTTCTTTCTCTATTTCGAGCCAGCCCAGTCTCACTTTTAGAAAAAAAAAAAATCTACGCACAGAAAGAATAAAACATCCTTTTCCTGGTTTTTCATAAGGATACGGTACTTGTTATTATTTGGATGTGTTGTAGTCAGTCACTTATGTCACTCTGCTTCTGCGCCTTTACACGGCTCCCCGCATCCTTATTTACTTCCTGTCACTTGGCTTGTTTGACGCAATACAAAAAACAAAACAAAAATGAATGCCTAGATCTAGTGCTGTGTCTTGGTAATTCTTTATATATATATATATATATATATTGCCTGGGGTTCTTCAAAGGCCTTCCCCCTATGATCTGAACTTTTACTTCTTTTTAAATGTTTCCGTAGTTTGACCTGCTTCCAAGGGAAACACGTCCGTTATCATATCGACTGGCGGTGAAGTAAAAGTCACTACAACCCACAGAGTTTTTGTCGCAGTAACCTTATTCTGTCCCTCTCAAACTGAAGCATTGAAACTAATGTTAGCTGTGGGTCTCTTTTTGCTTGCTTGTAAAGTTCAGCGAGATTGTTATCTATTCTCTAATACAGAGTATAAATGCATTGTGTGTGTGTGTGTATCTGTGTGTGTCTGAACGCATGTTTGTTTAATTCGAGAAGAAGCTAAACATTGTAGAACCACTACGTACGAAAGGACAATGTGTATTCTGTATTTTAATGCTTTACGTTACGATGAAAACTCAGCTGCTTTAAAATCTATCGGGGTACTGATAATTTGTTTATGGCTTGAAGAGCTGTGTTTGTTTCCAGGAGGACTACTCTCCTAGGGTACATCAGACTAAATGTTTTGAGTTAAATTCTAGCGAGTCTGCAGGTGTTTATCACGGAAAGTCTCACGGCCCTTTCCTAATATAATCATTTTTTCCGAGCTGCGAAAAGTCTCTCATATTTCTTCTCACCGTTAACGGAAACGGGGACATGGGAAGAACAAAAAATCCAACGGATCTCACAGCCTGTTCGAACCACTTCACAAAAGGTGGCTGAGGTCAAGCGAAGACCCTACACACAGGATGTCTTTTGTGGAAAGCGGAAACGAGCAAAGGCCGGCATCCCCAGGCCTTGTAGTGCTCTGTCTGTGTGCCGTTGTCCTCATTGTGACCCGTAAACTTCATGACACCATGGTCATTATCTGGCCCGAGGATTTCCTGCCAACCTACTCCCCCCCCCCCCCCCATGACCACTCCCCCCTCCCCTCCGGGAATCTATGACATGATTCTCGCCTAACCTGTTTTGGTTGCCCCCCTTTCTAAGTGTTTACTATTGTTTTGCAGTCATAACATTTTCTTTCTCTTCTCCTTTCTAACAACCAGTGGGCGGTTGGCGGATTCTATGGTGTGGTTAGCTCCTTTTTTTCTTATTAAACACCTTTCGTGGGTGGTTGGCGGATGCTTTGGTGTGGTTTGCTCCTTCTTTCCTATCAAACGTCTATCGTCCTTGTCTCTCCTCCTTCTTTTTTGTGTATGTTACTCTCTTGTAACACCTCTATTCTTCGGCACTTATATGACCCTATTGTGTTGCAAGTGCCATAAAACTCTTACTAAAACTGATAAATAATAAAACACCTTTCGCCTCTATCTCTCCTCCTTCTCCTCTTTTGCATGCTACTCTCTGGTAACACCTCTAATCTTCGGCACTTAATGACTTGATTATGTTGCAAATGCCGTAATACTCATCCTAAAATTACACTGACCATTCAGCTTTACACATGTTTGCCTTAACAGTTCTTTGCCTTAGTGGGCTCGTGCAACTGAGCAATATTTTCCCCGTGCTTTCTTGTTGCAATACTGATGTTACCGAATATGACAACCCATTGTCAGTACGGGTGGTTGATGGGCGTTCTTAATATGTAAGGTTTATTTCCATTTAGTTCTTTTCATTGTGCTATTCTCTTAATCTTTTCTTGACGCGAAATATGTAGCTGTTTTCTTGCTGACTCACCACTCCCAACAAGCCTGCCTCTTGCCTTTCTTTCTAACGAGCAAACAGCAAACATCATCACCAGATGGTTAGTGTGTTAGAGATGAAGTGCAAACCAATACTGGTCATTAAATTGAAGAATGCGAACAGCATTGGGACCTGCAGCAACTAATAGTTCTCAAAAATGTGTTTGTACTGATCATCACTAACTGTGCAGGTGTGAATATTTCTCTAGACTACAACGAATGTTTTTAACAAGGGTTCAGCTCTTTGTTCATTGATCGGCGATATGTATCAAGTTCTCATTTGAAATGCTAACCTTCCTTCCCGTTCTCTCCGGCAAATAGTTTAGAACTCCTTTATTATGCCCTGATCCAGATCAACAAAACATGTCAGGGGTAGGCTCTCGACAAAGAATTTAAGCCCGCTAAATTCTTCACCTCCCTGCTCTCCCGAGCTTCCCTTCGTGTCCGTCTGGTCCTGAAATTCAAACTCTAAAATTCAGATTTTAATGCTTGCTGGTTGGATCGTTTGTACCCTCCAGCTGGTGCAGCAGATCTTT